CACCACATAACCTTCAAAGATTTAGCCGTCTGCCCACGTTTAGATTACCTTTTGGGAAGATGAATAGCAGAAAATTGAGTACCCTTTTGATCATCGTTGTCATCTCAATGGCAGTGCTGAACCATGTCGGCGTTGAAGCTACCAGAGTTTTGCCTGAGGATTTTGCCAAGGCCAATCACCTGGACACGTACTCGTCGGTTTATCAGAAGGCAAAGTTCACCATGTCATATTGGCTCGGGCGGTTAGCTTCAGGACCAAGTCCCCAAGGACCTGGCCACTAATGCTTCAGGTTGGGAATTCAGTTCCAAAATGACGACGTGATGATACAATGAAGATTTCATTCCCATGAAAGTTAGACAAATTAAAGCATATTTTATTATTATTATTGTTTTAGATTATGATATTCTGTAATATCTTCTAGGTAGAATTGTAAATGTAATTGAAAAACAAGATTCTTTGATTTGATTTTAATTTTTTTTGGGGCACACTTTTTTTTCTTTTTTTTTTTTGTTGAATAATATTTAATTATAATAACTCATTAATTAATCACCTACAATTTTGAAGATAATTAATTAGAAAATAAGCATTCCATGCAACATTTCAACACAAGCACCGAAATTTTCTTGCAAATATAGACAGTAAATGAAGCTGATTTTTTTTTTCTTTTTCAGGAACTGGAAATTGTTGAAATATTTAATTGATGAAGATAGGATAATCAAACTTTATTCAAATGGTAAAATTGAAATTGATGAAGATGAAAAGGGTTATTGAGTTTTGAACTTCAATGTTGGATTTTTATTTTCTAAATTACTAATTGAAAATTTGATATTACCCCATTAATGAAGAAAATTATTGTCTTTTTGACCAGCCAAAATTGCAGCAAATGAAATTTTCTTCATCATCCTTGTAAGCAAGTGACATAGGCTAACACCCAAACAAAGATGAAGAAAAATAACTTTCAGTATTTACAAATCCCTTTCAATTCGAGATAACAAAAGTTTATTTTTAAGAAGCTTTTTAAAATAAAATAAGATTTTATTTTCAACTAAACTAATTACAAAATTAAGAAGAGAGAAAATTGTTCCAAACAAATAAACCAATATAAATATAAAAATGTTTACAAAGATGAAAAAAAAAGTACAATTACAATTGTGCAATACATAACAAATGATAAGAATTCATTTTCATTTAGACTACATAGAAGATTGAAGAAAACAAAATTGACCCAAAATAATATATGTTCAATGATGTTTATATGGATGAAAAAATATATGTACAAATGAGTTTATACAATGCAAAAATTCATTTCCAATTAGAATATACGTAATCCTAGAGAGAGTAAAACTATTCCAAACAAATAAAATTATGTACATATAAAAATATTTACATGGATGAAAAGATGTATGTACAATTACATGTATGCCAAACATTGGTTCATTATTTTCAACTATGTACAAAAGTAAAGAGAACAAAAATTGCTCTCAAACGAATGAAACAATGTACATGGAAAACTACTTTCATAAAAAAAATATGCAAACATATGTTTCCATTACATAATAAAAATAAAAAATTTATATACAAAATTGAAAAGAGCAAATGAAGTAATATATATAATGAGAAATAAGATTCATTTCCAATTAAAGTAAAACTAAAATATTAGAGTTTTCCCTAATTGACATTTATACATTCACATCTTTTGTATATACATGGACAAGTGAAATAATGGTTGTATATGGATGATCGTATGCATGTATGTAATGAAAGAACATCATGTGATGCAAAAAAAAAAAATTCATCTCCAATCTCACTTTTTTCAAAGTAAAAAAAAAAAAAAAAAAATATTGGTTGTACATGGATAACGAATGCATGTATATAATGAAAGAATATTATGTGATGCAAAAAAAAAAAAACTCAAAATCTCCTTTTTTAAATAAAAAAAAACTTTTTTTGAAAAATTATTTTTTATAAATTTAAATTATAAAATTATCTCAACAAAAACAAAAACTTCAACAAATACAATATCAATACAAAAACATGTTCTACATAAGGGATCAGCATAACTCTATCTTAAGGTTGAGTTCTTAAAGTTTATTATATGTTTGGTTATGACATTTCACAATTTAAAAGGTTTTTAAATTGTTCTATATTATCGTCCATGATGGATTAATAAGACACTTTAATTCACATCCATTATAAGCTGAGAAAGATCCGATTTGAGTAAAAGTATTTCGTTAGCTCATATGGAGGCATAAAATCTTACAATAATATAAGTATTTTACTTTTTTTTAGAGAGACGAAGTGCGAGTATAGACCTAATGTTATGAATAATGTATATGTCATTGTGTGTAAAGAGACCGTTAAATCTATATAAAAAAGCAACGTAAAAATGGTAAAATCATTCAATTTGTTAAGGCTTGGATAACAAATTGATTACTGGCTCGACTCTTAAAATTCTCATTTGAGTCGTCAAATAGTCATAGCATATAAGTCTGTAAACTTATTGTTAGGTATAATAAGAGGATTCATCATTAATTTTTTTTTGTATATGTACAATTAGTCACCTAACTAAATTTATCTCATTTTTAAAATAAGTCTTAAGCTTGATTTGAGTATCTCTAAAACGTATATTTTAATCTATGAACCAAAATTAGATTCGAAAATACAGTTATGTGCAAAAAAATTTATAATACCCTTACAATGTCTATTCAAAAGATGATACTAATTAATTTTGTGTTATCTAAAGTCTTAAAAGTTTTATTGAATAAATTTAACATTAAAAAAATATCTTAAAATTACTATAATAGTTTGATAACAATTTAAAAAAAAAATTTCACCTTAAAAAATTTATAAAGACTAATATCTTACTCTAATTACTCTAAGGAGGCTTTCATCGGAATTATTCCAAAAGACCACTCTTTTTTTACTTTCTCACATTGATTTTCTTCGAAACCACCTGAAATGATCAAGATCTGCAAGTTTAGTTCATAATTTCAAACTTTGAAAAAGTCCTCTTCTCTTCATCCGATCTTTCCAAGTTTTCAGTATGTCAATGGCCTCCCCACGCTCTTCCTCCTCATAGGTCCTGATCTCTTAGGTCACACCGATCTCCATTGACCACCATTGTTGCCATCACTGTTGCCGCTATTGTAGGTCACCACTGCTACCTCCACTATTCTTCTCTTTTGTTCTCGAATTTAAAAAATCTTCAACAAAAAACTTTGAAACCAAAACCCTTATCTTCTCTATTGCTATCGAGTTCAACCTTGGTAACTGACCATGAAACCAACTTCAATTCCTCTTTTTTCTCTTTTGACAAAACTCGAAACCTCAAATTATTAAGAATCAAACTTCAAAACCTAAAAGGAAATTCACTACCCAATACTTCTTGGCTACTTGCATTTATTATGGCAAGCATTATGTGTTGGTTTTTTCTGTTGTCAATTATTTTGAATGTGGCTTGTGGTTGTATTTGGATTTATTAGGTTAGGACTGTAGATGGTTTGAGGCTGGATAATTGTGGGGGTCGTGGGTTGTTTTACTTTGGCAATGGAACTGGATAACTGGAGTGGTGGTTGGGGGTGGATGTGACTGATGAACTAGGAATTGGCCATTAATTGTTAGGTTAAGCTCGATTTTGGTTGCCAATCATTCCCCCCATTTTCCTTGTTTGCATATTGTTTTTTTTATAGGCACACAATTTTGATTGAAATAGTTCTCTAAAACAGATAACAATTTGCATATGGTTAAGAATTTCATCGCTTTAGAGATTCAATCCAAAAACAGCTTTATCACCAAACAAATATAATCCCAGTCTTTTTGGCTTTTTCACAAGATTTTTTTTCTTATTATTTTTAAATTTCCTTTTTTTATTTTTATTTTTACTTTTCTGAAAAATCTTTAAAAAATTACAAAAAGAAAAATAACAAGTAAGACCCTACACTTCATTAGGGTACAAAATAAAATCCTAATAAACACTTCAATTTGGGATTCAAACCTGGATCAAGCCCACAACTCAAATAACGAATTAAGACCCCAAAGAAATGGTGACATGAAAATTAAAAAAAAAAAAAGATTCCAGCCAAAATAAAATATCTATAGTGAGTAAATGATATCTTGCATGATATGAACAATAAGCTAACAGAATTCTTTTGCCTTCGATCATATTGGCTAGCAATGACCAATCATCTATTATTTCAAGGTTTTTGGCAACACCGAAATGGGAACACATCATTGAGGCAAAGAAAATTAACATGGAGCTAAGAGGATTCTTTTGCCTTTGATTATATTAGCTGTCCATGACCAATCATCTATTATTTCAAGGTTTTTGGCAAGATCCAAATGGGAACACATCATTGAGGCAAAGAAATTTAACATGGACAATAAGCTAAGAGGATTCTTTTGCCTTTGATCATATTGGCTAGCAATGACCAATCATCTATTATTTCAAGGTTTTTGGCAAGACCCAAATGGGAACACATCATTGAGGCAAAGACTTTTTGTTGCCATTGAAAAAGATCCTAGAAAATAGTATACCTGTCAAAATCAACTTCAACTCCTTTGTTTTGCTTTTACTTTTCAAGTGAGAAAATGCTATCCTATATGACATGGACAATAACCTTAGAGGTTTCTTCTGCCTTTGATCGTATTGGCTAGCAATGACCAATCGTCTATTATTTCAAGGTTTTTCACAATAATTAAATGAGAAAACACCGTTGAGGCAAAGAATATTTGTTGCCATTGAAAAATACTAAAAAAATAGTAAACCTCACAATTTTTTTATCATGTTTGTGTTATGTTAAATAAGTATAAAATAAAAAATATTATTGTGTCAAACATATTTTTATTTTTGTCAAATTTTGTGTTATTTTTATATTTTTATAATTTTTTACATCATATCATTATATCATATTTTAAATTATTCTATATAGAAATGGGAAGTTGTAGTCAAAGAATTATCATGAATAAGCAATTGATAAAGTGTGGATGTGAGCACTATTGTCTGACAATTAAACATTAGATTAGAACTTTCATTCCTTATTTTTTTTCTTCAATACATGATTTTAGGGAGACATCCCTTTTCTCATTTTAGAATTTGAATCCAAAACTTTCAAATTACAGTCTTCAATTCTAGCCACTGAAATCTCCCATGAGGGACCAACTTTTTTTATTGTTACAATTATTTCCTTTATTTCCTTCGAAAGTATAAATTCTAGCAGCTGAGATTACCTCCGGGAGCAACACCAAGTTGGTTACAGTAGTCTGTGTATAAGTCAATCCGAGACTGAACTTTAACAGGATCAACACCATTACACTCAAGATCTCCATTAATGGCTCGAATAGTTGCCCCAAAACCTTGGTCCATGACTGCTGCAACATTGTTCATCCAAAACCATACGGCAGCCTTGAAGGAGATAAGAGCGTCATTGGCCACGGTTTCTGGTGCGTTTAACCCATCGAACCCAATGTCAGTGCCAGCTGGTCCGTAATTGTAATTCCATGACAATTGCAGTGGTCCACGGCCATAGTAACCTTTGCTTGGGTTGCATGGGTACTCTGTTCTGTTCTCATCGCAGTAGTCCTTTGAAGCGCCACCCTCCTCTTCTATGTGGCAAAAACCTGAAAAGAACACCACCATATTGATTCTTCATAAAAATTTGTAGCATTAAGTTCATGGAATTGACTAGTTGCAGAATCATTCAACTGTTCGATCAGGAAGAGCATTAATGGCAAAGGGTAAAAGAGATCTTACGTCCAGTTTCATGGCTAGCATGTGCAAAGAAGGCAGCAATCTCACGCCTGGAATCCTCAACTGAGCCAATCCTCGCAAACTGAGTGAAAGAATTGAGAGCATCGAGAAATACTCCTCTCGAGTAAAAGTTTTTCCCCGCACAAGTTGCAGCTGCCTGATTCAAGATACCATTAAAGAATTCAGGTGTCACAATGTCAGCTATCGAAACACCATTGTTAACACAAGGACCCCCTCGGCAATTTATGCCGCAGTAATCAGGACCTTCCCCGCAAAACCCAAATCGACTGCAACATTGGGTTGCTGAACAACTGTTACCACATTGAGCCTTGACCATTCCAGGCAGGGCTCCAGCAAGAAATATTCCTGCTAGGATAACAGCTATAAGGCTCTTTTCTATAGTGAGGGTTGCCATTTTTGCTGAAAGTTGTATTTGGATGTGGAAATTCGGAGGACATTGAGACTTATTTATAGCTTGGGAGAGGGCAAGAAAAAGCAAATAAGAGCTGTTCCCACAGGGCGTGAAGACTACGGGTCTTGCAGCCTAACTTGACTATAAATGATGAAAACAACAGGTTGAAATTTCTTTGGCCATAGAAATTGAAATTTCTACTTTGATTATTCAATTTTTACACCAACAAATAATCAATTCAAACAATTTCTACTTAATGGCCCAGGCCGTGCCAATTTTGGGTTCAAAATCTTTAGCTCACGATATACAAATACGTGTAAGTTTTTGTGCTTGACCTAATTCGATTAATTAATAATAAATCAGATCAAATACGATTTATATTATATTATAAATCATTTAATTCATTTAATACTTTTAATGATGTGAAAATAAAAAAAAATTATTGAAATTTAAATTTTAAACTTATAAAATATTATTTTTTAATAATAATTGTATAATTCAATTAAATTAAATTTTATTTAAAGAGTAATTGTATAATCTAATTAAACTAAGTTTCAATTCTCTCATCATTTACTCGTTTCCTCGGTGTTGGCTAGTTTCCTCAATTTCAGTCTATTTCGGTATTTCTCGTGTTTAAGGTTAAAAGAAAACTATTTCATTTTATTTCTTTTAACTTGGTGACCTTTCAAAATGATTGTTAAACTTAAATTAATTCTGACAATCAAAGATTGGGATCAGACTGGTTGAGATTATAGCATGTATTTACAGTCTGTCTGTCATAAATTTGGACAGGTAATGTTTTCCAAGATCGTGTAGACTACGGGTCTATGATCTTGACTTGTCAATGCAGGGACTTGTCTAATGAGCTTCATCTTCGTTTCCCTGGCGTATCTGTAACCTTCAATGAATCAGTGGTAACCATATCCCAATTTCAGGGAAAAACAACACACTTAACATCATTGAAATTTCGCAATCTGTGTTCAGACACGCCACGAGCTTTGCGGCCCTTTTTGCTGCCCAAAGATGCCCATGAAAACCAATCCAAAAAATTTCTTGCAAAACCAAATTCACAGCCACATTCTCATCCATCTCTTAGCTGTTCCTGTTGAAAACACAATCTTTAAGAACTCCAAAAGAACTTGTTGGCATTCAGTTCACCAAATCATCCCTTGATTTGTTACCCTCAGCTGCAATCTCATCTGTAATGACTGCTTCTGGTTTAACTTCTTTGATTAGAGATTCTGCATCTAGAGCTGCTTGCCTGTATCAGCTCTATGCAGCAAGCACATAAAAAACAGCCTGGGATTCTGGCTTATGGATGCCAAAAGCAAACAGGTTTGTTTGATCAGATAATGAAAGCCCATGAACTAATCTGTCTGATACTTTCAAATCATCAACCTTGCGCAAAGAGAAAGGCAAGAGATTTGCCAGGCGCGAAATATATTCAACAATCATGATGTAAACCAAACTTATTTACAATTTGTTTACTCTTCTCACCACTAAGATGCCATCAGATCATGATTATGCCAATTCAAACACTCTCCAAATAAAGCACATACTACAAAACTTTCTTTAAATAAACATAATTTAACTGAGAGAAAACCTGATCCAAAACAATGTGTTGCATTTTCTGCATCATTGGAAAAACTTTACCAGAAAATTTTCACTCTATAGTTCCTCTTTTTCATCCGTTCCATTTGACAACTTCAACAGGATATCAGCACTAAAAGATAAAATAAAAAATTTCGTTCTCTCCCAGCACCAATTTGCTACAGATGTTTGTAACTACAAAGCTCAAAGGTACAAACTTGTTAATAATGTTTTTGATGTCTTAATCAGAGGAAAGTTGGTTGGAGATTGAAGGTTGGAGGTAGAGTGACTTGGACCTACAATTAGAAAACACAGTTAGGGGCATCGGAGTTGTATTTTCGGATATGCTCCGATACTAATAAAATATTCAAAGTCTGATGAAAAAAAGTATAAAATGGGTTGAGAAAGATACAATGGAAGGAAAACGCTTAAAGTCTTACGTATTTGAATCTCTTTTTTATTTTATATATTAGATGAAAGATAATAACTTTATTAACAAATTGATAATTGATGATAAATTTATATAAAACTCAAAAAAAAAATTTCGTGAGTAATTGAAAATTGTATTTAATGATTCAAACAAGCATGATCAAGAGCATAGCTAGAGGGCTTGGCCCAAAATTTAGCCTAATGGTTAAATGATTAAAAGATTAGTTGAAAGTTATATAAGAAGTGAGTTCTATCCCGCTATCTCTCCTCTCTCTCCCTCTTGTAAGAGGGCACTAACCCTTCTTTGCAAAAAAAAAAAAAAAAACAAACAGCATAAGAGTTAAACATATATTGATTAGACGACCCAAAAAGTTGATTTTCTTCATCGAGTAAATAGACATAACAAAACTGTATAAAATATTTCTAGAGTTTACCCTAAAACTAATTCAGTATTATTGTTTGTTTTATTCATGGGAAACGAAAACAAAGATTAACAAAATATGAAAAAAGCATTTGGTTATTTATTTATTGCTGTGTAAAAGAATGTTGTTTGGGTTTAAAGAAAATACATTTGTACTATATTCCACATATTATAACAGGAAATGAATTCTCCAGTCAACTAAAAACTAAGGAAAAGGCTTTGACATCTAAGAAGAAAACATGAAAAGTGATTGATCATAAAAAACATACCTCGATTTTGTATGAGATTTACAAATGACCATAGATGATGACCCCTTTGCTTTTAAGTTAATATTTGATACACTGACACTGCATCACTCCTATACACAGTCAATTAATAATAGGATGCCGCGTAAACACATATTTGAATAACATGCAACAGGCAAGAAAACAAATCTCTGCCAAATCCTTTCATATCATTATCAGCTTGATCCAAAAAAAATAAATCATCCATTGAAATCACACCTAAGGGGCATCCAAACAAAAACCCATGTCTTTAATCACTGTAATAGCTTAAAATTAAGAGAATCTTTTCGATTTCCAAAGAAAAAAAAGAACCTAGCATTTTCTAGGTGAGGATGAAAGCTCGAAGAAGGCAATGGAAAGTTTGAGTTTGCATAGAACCACTGGTAAAAACCTTTCACACCCTTTTTGGCTTCTTTGAACCACTGTCTTTCTTATCCTCAGCAGCCTTTTTCCTGTCCTTCCTCTCCCTCTTCTTCAATGCAGTCATGTGAGCCTTAAGAATGGTGGCGTAAGAAGCTTGGAAGCGCTGGTGATCCTTAGCTCCAACCTGACCAACAAAAAGGATTAATAGAAGGTCAGTCTGGCTAACCAATAACAGATTGACTTCCACAAGAACAAATAGCTCTTTCCATAAGGACATGCATGTGAATGCTATTACATGATCATTTTGGTTTTTTTTTTTTTTTTTATATATATTCTTTCTTTCTTTTATATTTTACATACAAATCCTTCGGTACATTGCAAAATAACATTTCTTGCCAATATTTACGTTTCAAAATTAAAAAAAAAAAAAAAGAAACTATACAACTAAAGGCTCATCTACCATAACAGTCAGTCATAACTGATGGGATGGCTAACACTTCTAAAGCCACAAAATTTAATGCTTCAAATTGGTTACTTACACAGCAAGTTACAACCTAAGGCAGCTAACGAATTGGAAAGCAACTTGGTTTCCTCCCAAAGGCAGATACTTTTATTTGGCAAAATCACATGAATCACCTCATTTTCACTTTCTTAAACATCAAGTTCTCAGCGTTGTAGTATAAATTATTAACTAATTATAATTACCAATAATTTGCAAATAGAAATTAACAGTGGTAATGTCAAAAGAAATTCAGTAAACTATTGTAAGGATATTGCTATTTATATTTATTTCAGTGTTATCACCTTATCAATATATATATATATATATATATATATATATATATATATATATATATATATATATATAGTGCATTGACAAATTTATCATTCAAGCAAAGACAATTCGTAATAGTCACATACCATTTTTAAAATAAAAGATTCAATTCCAAAAATCTCCCATCTTAAGAAAATAAGAAACCATTCACTAAAGAAACTATAATTTTGTAAAGTTTTTATTTTTGCAATAAATACTTTTTATTAGAAAAATATTGACTTTTTTTACTCCATTCAAATGTTTTAAATATATAAAACTTGACATAGTTCAATATTGATTTATCGTACAAAATATAAGTTTTGTCATACTGAATGATGACTGGTCATGGGAGCATTTTTGCAGAATTAATGAAGTTGTTAAATAACAGCAATTATGCATGAAGGTAGGCCCTGCAGATGTATGAAGCAAATCTTGGGATAAAAGACATTGTTGCATTTAGTCAGTACAAGCCCAAAATCTTTCATCATTTTCCACTCATACATGAGACAAAAACCTATGAAACTATAAAAACCTCATACCTAACATCCTTTCAAGTTTCAACACTGAATGAGTGCATCAGTTATTCAGGAGCCTACCTGATTTTGCCTCCTAAGGGGCATATAAGGAAAGTAAGCTATTCCATTGAATGCCAAACTATTAGGCATCTGGCAAGATCACAATTCTTACAAAAAGCAGATGAAGTCAATTAGATGCTTTTTTTATTACCACCTAGCAGGTCAAAATCTACTTATAAGCTTTACTATACTGCTAAAATATAAGTTTCTCTTTTCCTATAAAGATAAAAAGGATATAGTGCAAAAGGGAGTCACACCAAATCGATCATTTGACACAAAAAATCATACCTAGTGTAGGCACAAATCATATCCAAAGCAATCAAGAGTGCTATATAGTCCATAATACCTGAATTACACAACTCAAACCAGAGTTTCCAATGGATATGTTCTACTCTTCCACGGAGATCACATTTGGTTTATGCCACATATGACAACAAGTGACTCATTTTTAAGAGCAATTCAACCGACTTAACCAATGTATCCAATTCCATCCGATCAGGCAAATGCAATGTTGCATTAAAACAATAGTTTTATCCATGGCATAAACAACTGTAGGAATTATGAAACCAAACATGAAAAAACTAAATACAGTAAGAAAAAAGGGAGTACCGAAGTAGAAATTGTCTTTTTGCCATCGGTTGCACGAATAAGACATCGGTATTCAATGGTTTGTCCAGCAGTCTTCATTTTGTTCCTTTGAACCTTAGATTTCAAGGATGCTATGGAACATGAAAATTGAGAGCATTAATGAAAAAAAAAAAAAATCCAATATACAAGACATCCCCAAGAAAAAAAAATGACCAATAATAATAAAAAAACAAATTGGGAAATTCTTACATCGTTTTAGAGTAACCCAAACAGAACCTGTCTCAGTGCTGCGCTCAAACATGCTTTTCAGTTCATTAAGAAACGGGTCTGGTTGTAGAAGAACCTTGAAAGAAAAAAATTAAATATAAAAATCAGCAGAAATAAGATCAAATGCCCTAAAAAAAAAAAAGAAACGAACAATTAACAACCAATCCAATTACACTAAATCAAAACCCCAAACATATATAAATTCAAAAAACAATAAAACCCTTTGCGATTAAACAAAAGCCCAATAATTTTTTCTTTGTTTTTAAGAATTTAGAGAAAAGAAGAAAAACCCAGAAAAATAAACAAAATAATGAAAAAGAGGGATCAAGAGTTACCATGATTAAGGCTTTGATTGAGATTCAAAACCAAAACTAAAAGAAGCAATCGTTTGCTGCAGGTTGAAGGAAGAGGGTAACGGCAGAGAAAGAAGAATCAAGTACAGACTAAGTACATCCTTTTTCTCAATCTGAAAAGCTCAAAGCAGACATTGAGCTCAAGCGTTTTTATATTGGCCATAATAAAAAAATAGAAACAAAAATTTTTTGTTTTCAGCTTTTACTTAATTTAAAGTTTTCTGGGCCTTCAAAAAGAAATTTATGGGCCTTTTGTGATAAAATAAACAAAAAGATTTATGGGCTTAGCTTCTTAAATTAATTGGGCGAAAAACAAAAAAAATACTTATTTGACACCAATTTGGTTTTTTTCTTTTATTTCACTTGTTTATTTATTATTATTTTATAAATTATTAGTGAAATTTTCAAAATTTATAAGTATTTTTTGAGTGATAAGGGGTTTTTAGGTTTTACTCAAGACATTTTTTTTCCTGACCAATGTAAACAAGCTTATTTATATCACGTTTAATAAATTTATGAAAAATTATATTTTGACATTTTTTGAAAGAATTTGAGCTTGTGCGCTTGAAAGAAACAAACTCTCTTATCACTTAAAGAGTCAATCTAATAAGGTAAGTACTGAGATACAGGTTCTAGCTGCAAATTTTCTTCATCCAAAATGAGTGTACGTGTTTCATTTTTATCTTCTTTTCTTATTATTATGATTTTTTTAACAACGAAAGCTATAGTTTAGAGATAACAAAAAAAAAAATTTTAATTTAAATTTCAAATTTATCAAATGACACATTTTAAAGATAACTGCATGAATCACGTTGATTTTGAGATAGTAAAAAAGTAGTGCTTTGGCTATCATCTCCTACAAGGGTTGTGATCAAGCTAATACTCATGGCATGCTCAGAAATAATTAGTTTCCAAATAGAATATCCATGAATCTTATTCTGGAAATAATAGTTCAACATCCCAAAAGTACACATTGGAAAGATACTAGTCAAAGTGTTGTATATATTGCTCAATTCGTTTCTTCAAGTTGAATGACTGCATCAAAGCTAAATTTTTCATCTGGTTCGAACATCTCTTCAAGATCTTCTAAACTTTGCTCAACTCTCAAATCTTTACCAACTGCTAGTCTTTCCTGCAACAAGTTAATGAACATAAAATTCAGGTGAAAAACCAACATTCAAAGAGGCATCCATTGAAAGAGGAAGCCATGATCTGCTGTGAAAATGCAAAAAGTAAAGAAAACCCATGAAGAGTTAGTTTCATTTGATCAAGGTCGTCACTACAAGAACAATAAAATCTTTTCTGAAATGTTCAATTTGGTAACATTCTGACGAGGCATGTTTAATGTGGTGCTTCTCTAACTTGTAGAGCCTCAAATCTTCATTTTAGTAAAACAAAAGTGGTTTTTGTGGAAAAGGCAGAAATTTATCAAATTCAACAATATGACTGATAATCCAATTATGTCCATAATTCTCCAATGGTACCTTGAACATTAGGGTCTGTTTTTCAATTATCTGATATCTTGATTTAAGTTACCATCAAAACATACAAATTCAAACCAATTTAAACACTTATACGAGCTTAACATGTATGGTAACACGAGAGTGATAACTGCTTACCTTTTCAACATATTCAGCTACAATAGAGTTAATTACTTTTGTTTCAAACCAATTTAAACACTTATACGAGCTTAACATGTATGGTAACACGAGAGTGATAACTGCTTACCTTTTCAACATATTCAGCTACAGTAGAGTTAATTACTTTTGTGATTACTTGCTCATAAACTTTTGAAGCTCCAAGAACTTCTAATAAAATGTCTCTTGGTATCTGCCAGACACAATTGAAAAGGATGTAATTGTCAAAAGTTGATCAACCAAAAAGGGTTATGCAACAAGCACGCACTTGCAGCCACACACACACACAGTATTTATGTCTTTATCTAGTTATAGAGTTCCACAAATATCATCCATGTACATGCTATATAGAGTGTAACCATTTTATGAAATGCTAGCACTTAAAAGAAAAACATCATTATATGACTAATTGTAATTAAATGAAGTTATTGAAGTAAATCCTTAGATATTAGAACTTACATTTGGTGTTTTTCCTGCCAGGCCCCAAAGTGTCATTGCAGGACAAATCAACCAATGGAGTGGTCATAGAAAACGTCAGCAATTTATTAACAGGAGAGAAAGTATAATAAAATACAACAATAACAACGACAAACTAAGCCTTATATCTCATAACTCTACGATTAGCTGTATGAAAGGCCAAAAAAAGAATCATGTTAAGTCGTAGTTTTGAATCTTCTTGCACCACTCATTTCTATTAATAACAACCTTTTCATCTATTTCCTTAACCCTCATATCATTTTTTATTACTTGCATCCACGTCTTTCATGGATGTAAGTATAATAAAACTAGAAAATATAATAAAATACAACTAGAAAATGTAATGTCAAGAAAATAAGGCAATTCTAAATGCAATGAAAGTCCTTGATTCTAAGTTTCAGGTCAATAAGTATACGTTTATTTGAAATTCCTTAAGATTGGTTCTTCTTTGGTTAAATCTCAACTTTGCAAACCATTTTCATTCTCATAAAGGATTATACCATTCCTCCCTACTGATTTGAGGCTTTTTACTGCCGATTACTAATTTGCAGATGCAATACTCTAGCTGCACCAAAATAAATAAAAGTATAAAAGACCAACCAATTATAACCCTATGGGAGAACAATGCTTTTGAAAGAATATCATACAGCAAAATTAACAATATCATAGGATTAATGACAGCTGACTACTTTCTTTGCTGATGGGAGAGAAATGGTCACATCAGCACAGAAGAACATAAGGTGCAAAGACGCATTCAACAAGCTGCTAGTAGCAAATGCCATATATATGGTTTACAAGGTGCTCTTCCATGCTAACATGATGCAATCAAACCCTCAAGTAACATTAAGATGCATTTGGAAAACCAAGAAAAAGTGCTTATTCATTAGAAATAAAATAGTACCTCCCTTTACTCTTCGAAAACCTGGGATTGGCTGGGCAGCAGCAACCATTTTGTCAAACACATCATTAAAAATTGCTCGAGTTTTGGCTCCTGATACCTCAACTCTTATCTAGTTCAAGAAAGTTATGCAACAGCTTAGGTTAATATTCAAAGCCACATCAACTGCCTTTAAATGGCAGCATAAACTTCTCTTTAAATGTCAGCCACCTCTTTGCATGATTATTATGCTTCACTTCCAACTTGAAACTTCATTTCTATTTCACATTACCCCAAAATATAAAATAATTTGTACCTTTAGCTCTCTGCTCTTTTTGGTACCAGTAGCAGTAACAATGAAGTCTTCAAACTGTAAAGAAACTCCAACATCTTCCACATCTAATCAAGTTGAATAAAAAAGTGACGCGATATCTAAAATAGAACTAGGAAGCACATAAAAGAAAAAAAAAATGTACTAGGACTAGAAAGAGAATTTATCAGCTTCTGCACCTGATGATACAGCATGAGTGGTATAAAGACATACATGTCTTTCCCTGAAAGAAAAGGGACTTTTAATTTTAGAATAGAAAAGGATAATGTCAAGTTTTAGCTGGTACTCATTCAAAGTGAAGTTGAATACAAGAATTCGCAAAGAAAAGAAATGGACTTAATCAAAACTTAAAACAAGTTGAAAGACAAAGGCCTCTGAATATGAGTCAGGAAATTAATGAAACAAACAAAGTGCTTCTTGAATTGAAACCTATAAGGCTTTTAAAGATAGAAAATGAGCAAGTCCACTTGGTTGTTCACCTTAAAACTTTTCTGAATAGTGGAAAATTTACTAAAAAAACAGCTTTCTCCTTTCAAAATATCAGATATCAGATATACAACTATGAATTAAAAGTTTATATGGCTATATCTAGTAACTGCCGAGTGCTGACAACAAAAAAATTTATCGACTCTAGAATATGGTGCAATGAAAGTTCAACATGTTGTAAAGCAAGCATATGTAGATGTGTGATAAATAGCAGCATTGAGCAGACCATACTCACTTAAGTTACAAACTCCACAAATGAAGTCAGCTTTGGACATAAATAAAATAATTATAAATAGTCAAAATAAGCAGTTTTCTTGATACAATGGAAAAAGCCAGATATTGATTATCCTAGGTGCTATATTTCACAAAGTCTCTAAGAATTCTAAATACAGTACATAAACACATATTTGTCCCTGACCCAACTTAATCAATTTGGAGAGCAGTCCTTTGAGTATCATCGCAACTAATACAAAGTGAAGAAAGACAGTTCTTTCAGAGGAAATATTTCGGATTAAATTGCAGATCTTTTAGAGGAAATATTTTGGATTACAAGCTAAGGTTTAAGCTTAAGCAGTGAAATAAAAGTACCTTCCCTGGGATTTTAGAGCTCTGTATCGAATTCGAGGAGGAAAACATGCTCTCTTACAAGAAAGATTAGGAAAAAAGACATCCTCTACATGTTTATAGCTAATAATCTGCAAGACAAGAAAAAAAGGTAATAGGCTAACCAACCCATGAGATAAATGCTTTTGTATATAAGAGATTTACACAAGAGTTGAATTCCACTACTGCATTAAAGGCAATTGAAAATTGATGAAAACGAAAGTGTGCATTATTCTGGGGGATTTTGCCTTAAACAAAATCTCTATTTGAAACTAGGGGTGTAAATGTTACATCAATGTTCGCAAGCTATTTCGGTTCGATTGGGATAAAACTTGAATTTGTCTTGATCATTGTCGAATAGAGCTCGAGCCCAAACAGTTCGACCTATTGAGCGAGTTGAATTGGAGCATCCTATTACCTAACTCAAATAGCTCGCGAGTCTAGTCAAACTTTTAAATTTTAATATATTTTTATTATTTTAATTAAAAAATTACTATTTTACCTTTACGTATATATCAATTTGAGATCAAGTTTGAGCTCAAATATATAATTGAGCTTGAAATCAAGCATGAGAATCGAGAGCTTATTTTATTAAACGAACCTAATCAAGCGAGTTTGAGCAATTCGATTTTTATCTTTAATCGAATTCGAATTTGAAAATTAAAGCTCGAAAAAGGTTGAACCAAGTTTCGAGCAACGAATTTCAAATCTAACTCAAGCTCAAGCTCAAGGTTCTTACTGTATCGACTTTGTTTGGCTCAGTTACTCCCCTACCTAGAAACAAGACACCCAAACAATAAGTGATTATCAAGAGCAGCAATTTGCATTAGCTCCCTTTATTTAACAAACTAAAAGCTTTAGCCTCCTTTTCTCTAACACCATCATTTTCCTCTAAAATCAAAAGATTCCTTTGCTATTGCACGCCAATTGTATGTAAAAAAGCCTCAACAAAAAACCATTTTTTCCAGTTGTATTGTTAAAAGCAGGCACAAGAGTAATACCCAAAGAGGAATTAAACGAGTTAAAGGCTGATAACTACATTAACTACTTGAAAAACTTCGACCCAAATGATTTTGCAGCAATTTAAACAAGAAGAAAAGAGCATTACTTTGCCATATGAAAATAAAGTAAAAATTAGTTTTTTTTAAAGAAAAAATATCACAAGTGGGTAATTTCAAGTGATCGACTAAACATGGAAATGAAAGCGTAAAATCATGAGAAAAAATTAAAAAAATAGAGAGTCCACTTTACCTTGGGGTTTAAACGCAACCAAAGGCTCTTAACGGCTATTTCCATTATCCTCTTTTTCTCCTTCTTTGCTTATTATTATTATTTCGCCAGTTGTCTTTGCTTTGTTATAGCCTAAACGGTGCGCTTTATCTTCCCGCCATAGAGGGTTTTCTCAAACGACATCGTTTCTTCTCAAACCGTGATCCATTTTATCCATTTATCTTCTGCTCTCAGTCCCCCGTTCTCTTCAAATTAAGTTTTTTTTTTTTAATATAATATTTGCTTTGAACAGAAGAAATGGCGTTTACAAGCATGGCAACAATTTCTTTCAATTTCCATAATTTTTATAATCTTCAAGTAAGAGAAAAAAAAACCCATAATTTCTCTATAATTAATGCAATATTAACTTATTTTTTAATTAATTTTCCACTTTTTTTCCTGTTTTCAAATGGAAGCATGTCTCTTTTAGTAGCTGTTGCTGCTGCTTTAACAGAACAATCAAGTTTCACTACAACCAGCAAATTCGGAGTCACAAGTGAGTCAGATTTTTACTTTTTTTTTTTGCTAATATTTTTAAAAGTTTTTTTTTTGTTAATTTATTGAATTTAATCTTGGAATTGTTAGCTATACGAGGAAGCCAATATCTGCACTTGCTTCAGGTGAATTTCAGCTTTTATTTAATTTCCCAAACATTTTTTTAAAATTTTTCCATGATTAATTGAGTGAATAATTTAAATAATTTGATGATGTTGGTGTTGAATGTTAATGTTATTAGGTTTGGAGGCATCAATTTCAGATGCAGATGACAATGTGATAGCCTTGAAAGATGCTAAGATTGTTGTCGAGTCTAGAGACGAGAATAAGATACAGGTGAAACCGAAAAACATGAATTTTTGTCTTCAAAATGATTTTTTTCTATGTTAATGCGACTACATAACATTCATGCATTTTTCTTGGGTTAATATGTAATTTGGTCTCTAACTATGCTTCCTTTAACGATTTATTACCTACAAAAAAAAAAAAAATTATGATTACATATTAGAACTTTGTTTCCGTCAAACATTTTGAACCATTGAAGTCAAAATGCTGATGTGGAAAATGCTGACCAATAAAACTGTGTCAGACAACATGATATTATTTGTTGTTTTTTAGCCACATCAGGTAACCGTTGACAGAATTAGTGTGTGGGACAAAATGCTCAACAAAAACAAAGTTCTGATATCTAATAATGAATTTTTTTCTATAGGTAACGAATCATAAAAAATGATATAATTCAGGGGCTAAACCATAGATTAACCTATTTTTATTTTGTGGTTAAAGTTGGAGCAAAACTGTATGAATGGCTTTAGCTAAAATAAGAAAATTTCAAACACTTGTATATGAGCATGTTCTTCTCGGCTAGTTCTGGCTCAAGCAGCTTGTTGGATGCAGTTTTGCTAAATGGTTGTGAAGCATGCATATCAGTTCATTGGCATCTTAGAATGCAATTCTTTTAATTAGGCACATCTGTGTTAATTGGGGATTGGAATACTATTATCTGCATGCTCGTGCTATTTGCACCAAAATGTTCTCATGATAGGGTGAAATTAATTCCTGGAACCATGTTCAAAGAAATCCTGAAGTCTTGCTTTTCGTGCCTGAGCAATCCACCTTTTTAAAACTATTGACAGCAATGATGTGAATTTGTTGATTTTGGACGTTCATCTGTGCATATGTCAAGTTTTTTGAGGAATAATTCTCTTGGTTTTCTCCTGCCAGCTTAGAGTGGATGTTACTGGGGTTGAGACACAAAAGGCATTTAATAAGGTTTTGACAGATTTGGCTCGTCAAGCGCCGCCAATTCCTGGATTTCGTAAAGAGAAGGGAGGTAATTCATTGATGCAATTGTATATAGATTAAGCTCTTATTCATAGTGATTCACTTCAAGTCTTGATTAAATTAAGCTAATTTACATGTCTTTCCAAGAATAAGAAACAGTGATACGTTTATTTGTAAATTACTGTTGGAGTTTGACTAATCTGTCTCTGTGTGTGTGTGTGTGCATATTTATTTAAATTATGCACCATTGTAATGGTTTAAGGATAATGGTAAAGGGCTTAATATTTTAATAGGATTTAGGGTCATCAAGTTAATTGTCATGGCTAAGTGTTGATTAATTACCTGTTGCTAGCAACGCATGTTCATTTGCAGGATGTCAATTTTCTATTCTGATAGTACCTACCATTTCCGATTTGTTCATGAATTTGCTATTCTATGCAATTTCCGAAGCCAACCTCTAATTCTGACTTTATTGTATTTTTTGTTTGGTGCTAATGCAGGAAAAACAACGAAGGTGAGAGGCTTTCTACTATTAAATGTTTTCAGATTTGTCATTTGACCTCGCTTTTTGCCATCATGTTTAGTTAGTAAGTTATTTTGTGATCAGTTTTAGTGAGTAATATCTATAAAAAAAAAAGTACTATAGAAAATGGAAATGGAAATGAAAATGAAAATGAAAATATACCCAATTTTTTATAGTTCTTGAACATTTATATATTAGATCTCACTATCAAGAGAACCTTGCTATGATGAAAAATTCTGAAATATAAGCTGTGAATTTTTTCTTTTTTTTTGGTACAAAGAAGGCTGTATGAACACCAGACCTAGGAGCAGGGAAAGAGGTTGCAGGTGATGGAATTCAAACCCTAGACCTGTTGGATGCCATCTCTTAAGAGTGGCTACATAAATCAATTGAGTTATACAAACAGTGAAGTTTGATAACAATGAAGTTATGCAAGAGCACTGTTCTTATATCAACTTATGAACCTATTGTATAGAAATTTGCCCTTGTTATGTTGCGTCTGCATTGTTGTAAAACAATACTCATTGGATAAATCTGGCAGGTCCCAAAGAGTTTCCTGTTACAAATTCTTGGTGAAGACCGTGTCATGAAGTTTGTCATCAAAGAAATAGTTACCTCCACTGTAGCTGATTATGTAAAGGAGGCAAGTTATTTCGACCAATATTTTACCTTCAACTTTTCTGTAAAGCTCAAATTAACTCTTGCTCCTCTTCTGAAACAGGAAAATCTGAATGTGAAAGACAAGAAGGTTAGCACAAGCCAAACAACAGAAGAGCTCAAAGTTTCATTTTCTCCTGGAAAGGAATTTGGATTTAACGCAGTGATGGAGTTAGAAGAATCCGAAAATTGATAGGTTAACATTTCTTACTTTCTCCTAAGTTTTTAGGCTAATTGTTTTTTACAATGAGAGATCAAGTGGGTTTTTGGCCAAAGTTTCATGTATTATATATGTTTGCCACTTGAACATGAATGGAAACCAAGCCAAATGGAATTGTGTTTTGCAAGTTGAATGTGAATGAAAATTGAACAAAATTGAGTTGGTTGATTTGAGTGTATTTGATAGAATTTATGTTCTTGGAGAACTTTACATTTTGCAACAAAGAAAGGAAACAATAGGAAATACCAACTCTCTTACTACAACCAAGGCAATGAGAAATATTACTTTAATTCTGTCTTTGAAGCTGCAAATTTTCTAGCAAGCCGAACACCATCCTACAATGCATCCGCAATTGTCACAGCAATTCTATGGAACAAGCAAAATCCACCTTTATGGATGAAGATGCCATGACTATTTTGCCAACTGTGAAAATGTTGGCCAAGGGATTCCTGATGTTTAGTCGGGTCGACATTTGCTTCAACAGAGAAAGGCACAACCTCGTTACAAGCAGCAAACGCAGTTGGAGGCACTGTGGCTAGAAGAACCACAGCCATTGCAGCAAAGACAAAGGCAAGCTTCTTGCAGTACTCCATTTCTCTTACTAGATTTGATCATCTGTTGGATAGTTTTAGGTTTGATGCTCTTTGCATATATACATTAATGAGTTAGCAAAATAGAGATATAACATGTGAATTGCATGGCATATTGAATGAAATTTTTTATTTTTCTAGGCTTCATAAGCCCAATTGTAGGGCTCTCATCATATTGAATGGTGCGTTTTATAACTATATTCCTAACTTTAATCAGTGGGAACGCAACCAACGGGATCAAAGAAAAGCACATATATTTTTCTATCTATCTATCTACATTTATGTGACAAACTTTTATTTTTATGTATTCATTCACGATTTCTCTTGGCTTCTCTTCTGATCTTGTAGTAGATCAAATAAATTTTTGGTTTTGTGTTTTAACTTGTAGTAGATCATATTCTGTATGTCAGAAAAGGGGACATGATATTATTGATAAATCTTTGTCTTTTACTCAAGGCTCCATCGCAGTTCATCTTAATCCAGCTTAGCCTATCCACTTTTCATCTTCCAAAATGGAGAATGATAAATCTTTGTTTAGATAACATGTGCTTTCTCTTTATTTTTCATTATTACAACATGCTCTTATTATTATATATACTTGCAAAAATAATAGTTTTACTGAGAATTTACTGTGTTGAATGGTTGAACGATACAGGGTCATTTGAGAAATTCTAGAAAGGAGTTAATGGCTCCCAAAAGTTTTAGATGAAATCATCAATACGATACTAGCTGCTATGTACCATTTCGTAAATGACCATGACTTGGTTTTTGCTGCAGGTTGGATGGCCTTTCACACCAAGAAATCACTACTACAATGTATTTCTTTGCATTTAGAGACCGTCGACAACTGTGTAATCTAATAGAGACTGTCAGCAGTATTTTCGATTTTTGAATCAAGTTGATGAGTTAGGCCGACATGAATTTATGAGGCCACGTCAGCTTTGTCATTTCATAAGCCTACTTATTAAGCCCTCTTAGATGCTAACTTGTCAATAATCCATAATTAGGTGATTAATGTCTAACTCAACTCAACCTATCAAGTCATCTTAATCCTAAAGCTAATCTCGAGCAACTTAATTTGTCTAAAACTCCCACCTTACAGGTATAAATGGCACCTTCCAGTAACCATACAATCCATTTTGCTCTCTTATATTTCATTACGATCTCCTCCTTATTTTTTTCTTTGACCGATTTATGATTTAAGTGGTGGGGCACAAACGTTAAAAATACTCCCAACTTTTATCTTTAATAGTTCTCTTTCCCTTTCTTCTATTTTCAGGATTGTACTCGGAAAAGAGCAGCTTCACACCAACACTAATCATCAGAATTCAAATCTTGCCAATCTCAATTATTAAAAAAATAGAGACCAAATTCGAGCATTCGACTTAGTTAGTTGGTGCATGATTGAAAAGGAAGAGACCCACCATAACCATCAAGGTCCACACAACAGAAATCATTTAGAAGCTCTTTCAATTGCGTTGTGTTGGAGAGAGAAAGAGAGAGAGAGAGGATGGCCTCACTGAACTCCCCCAACTCAACTCCATACTGCCCAACCTTTGCAATAAGAGAAACAACTCATCACAAAAAGATGGCCTCACTAGACACTCCAAACCACTCTTTTTCAATAACAGAAACTACAGTTCAAAGCTTCTTTAGAAGCATCTCCACTAAAGAAACCTCCTTCAATGGCTTCCATTTCTCTCCACCTCGTTACAGCACTTCTACTTTATCCTCACCTCTCTGCACGTTCAGCCCCACCCCTTCTCTCCACACCGTCACACCTGACACTTCCTATAAATGCCTATCTTCAGTCCTTAAAAAAGATGGTCAGATTTTAGCCATAGCCATCTCAAATGGGATCATTTACACTGGCTCTGATACCAACTTGATACGCATATGGAAGTTGCCTGAGTTCGCAGAGTGTGGAGTGCTAAAGACTAAGGCATGCACTGTTGTTGCACTAGCAGTGTCCCGTGAAAGGCTTTTTGCAGCCTGTGGTGATACCAAGATTCGGGTGTGGCAAAGAACGTGGGATGGTACGTTGAAGCATGTCAAGTTGGCAACGATCCCGACGACCGGAGGCTATGTCCGGAGGTACATTTCCGGTAAAGATAAGATGGTAATGTGCTATAGCTATGACTTAATTTGTTGTCTGCATTTATGGTATTTTTTGTTTTAGCAATTATAATTAGCTTTGTTGTGAGGGTAAGTTTACTGGAGGAAAATGGTGGGAAAATTTTAAATAAAGTTTTTAAAGTAAAATTCATGAAATTTTTAATTAAAAATGATTAAAGTAAAAGAAAAATTGAAAATTAAAATTGATAGATTAAAAGATCTTATTCTATAAATCAATTATACAAAATTTGAAAAAATTTTCATATATGTTTTAGATAAATATTTTTAATAAAAATTTTTAATAAAATTTTTATCGTATCTTTTAAATTTAAATTATTAATTATATTTTTAATTTTTTTAAATATTATTAATTTTCACATTAAATTCTATCAATTTATAAGGTTTTTTTTATTAATGTTCATTAAAATATTAAAAAAATACACAAACTTTATATAAATAAATTCATCTTAGTTTTGTTCCATAAGTTTAAAGGAACCTTTAGGATAAAGAGACTGAACGAACGCTCAGCAAGCATATAAGATTGGTTACAAATCTGTTAATTTAAATAATATATGTAATATGATATGAAAACAATATAAAAATATAAAATGGTATTATATAAAATTTAAAAAAATTATATAAATTTAAAAATATATATTTCATATTTAACATATGAACAAAATTATAACATAATATTTTTATACCTATATTACAAAAAATAGACACGACATGAATTCAAACCCTAGTCAAGATACAAAATTTATTATGTCTATAGATATTGGTAATGTCCTTTATGATCATAATTGCACTAATCTCCGAAATTTTTGGCTAAATTAAAGCCAGTACTGTTAGGGTTAGACATTTCTATGTTTAATGGCAGATGAAAATGGCAGATGTAGGGGGTAGACATAGTCATAGTTCAAAGCAATTAAGGTAGCACACCAACCCTTTATTTATACTACAGAAACAGATATTACTTCCTATTCTCTCTCTATATAAATGTATACATAGATCTGGTTGGAAAGATTGAAATGAAAATTTCATATGATTAAAGCTTTGTCTCGGAAAGGTGTAGCTGATATACTGCTTTCAACAGAATTTTCCCATTTCTTGTTGGGTTTATAAATAAGGAAATTTCAATTGAATGAGAATTAATGCGTCAGTTCCTGAAATTAATAATTTTCTAATTTTTTATTTTTTATTTTTACTATTTTATAGACAGCATTTGTGAGTTCTTTTAGTTAAGAGTGTGAATTCGAATTGGTTATAAGACTGTAGAAAAAATAATTTTTTGTGAATTTATTAAAAACAATGTAAATAATTTTATTTGAATCGATATGATAGAAAAAAGATGCATGGGTAAAATTAGAACCGTAGATAAATCGAACATAGGCGAATGAATCGAACATAGGCGAATGAACGAATATATATATATATATATATAATTTGTTTATTTATTTTTAAAGGTGTTTAGACTTGATTTGAGTTTGATAAAAAAAATTGTTTTATTGTTTTAGTTTAATTCGTTTAAACGGTAGAATGTTCATGGTTTATATTCAATTTGATTAAATTAAATAAACTCATTTGTTAATATAAAACGAGTATATTTTCAAACTTATGTAAATGAACATTTTTATAAACAATAAATAAATCATAATCTTATAAATTTAAACAAATAAATCCTAAATAAATATAAACGAATCTAAAAAATCATTAACAAATTTTAAAACAGGATTAAAGTAAAAGATAAAAATATAATTTTGTTATTATTATAAATAAACAATAAATAAACAAGTTTTAAATGAACTTTAAACGATCTTGTTAGCGAACATAAACCGATCAAATAAATCTCTATTCGTATTTCCATTCATTTAATAAATGAATGTAAAGATATTATTCAAAATCATTTATTAAACTTAATAAACAAGTACAAATAGAAACAAACAAAAATCAAATATATTCATAAACTATTTGTTGAAAACCGTATTCATTTACACCTACAAACAAAACTCAAAAATCCCCTACTACTCAACAAAAAATAAAAATAATACTAATGTTCTATCAATTGTTGTACATTCTTAATTTAATTCTCCTTTTTTCTACAATAAGTATGATTTTCATTACAATTTTCTACTTCATACATTACTTAATTTGTCTCTTCTTATTGGAAATATGACATTAACTTGTTCAATTAATTTGCAGATGAGGCATACGGGGCCAATAACATCACTAGCAATCAACACATCAGATAACATTCTATACTCGGCTTCCCTTGATCGAACTGTGAAAGTTTGGAGAATATCAGACCTCAAGTGCATTGAAAACATCCCAGCACATTCACAACCAATCAATGCTATTATTGTGGCTGATGATGGAATACTCTACACTGCCTCTGATGATGCCACCGTCAGAGTTTGGCGGCGAAACTTTTCTAGAGGGGAGTGGCCACATTCACTTATGGTAACCCTCCCAGCCAAATCCTCACCTGTTAAAACTCTAACTCTAACTGCAGATGGGGGAGTGTTATATGGAGGGTGTACCGATGGATACATATATTACTGGTTTAAAGGCTGGCTGTCAGGCCAACTGCAGTACGGTGGCGCTCTCCAGGGTCACACTCATGCAGTTATGTGCCTAGCCAGTGTGTCTAATTATGTGATTAGTGGCTCAGCTGACTCATCTTGCCGGGTTTGGACGAGGGAACAAGATGGTCAACATGTATGTCTAGCAGTTTTACTAGGCCATAGAGGACCAATCAGATGTCTTACTGCATTTTTGGGGCATTCAGGGGAGGAGGTTGAGGATGGTTGCACAATCTGCACTGGCAGTCTTGATGGAGTCCTCAAGGTATGGCGCCTAACACGTACAAAAAGTGCAAGTGGAAACTACGTAAAAAATGATTGTTTTGGGTTGGACGATGGAGTTTAAGTAATTTGTGTTCGGAGAATACAGTATAATTCTTAATCACAAGACTGCAAGCAATATTTTCTGTTTGTTTATACCAGTTATCAAAATTTTGTTGTATACTAATAAGCAATAGACTCGTAGATCGGAAAGCTTATATAAAGTTTCATTGAAATTCGCAAAATTTTTTATTAAAAATGAGAAAATAAAAATTTTAATAGAAAATTTAAATCAATAGATCAAAAGATTTCATCATATTCAGTGTAAAATTTTTTTAAAAAAATTTTAATGAATTTTGATATATTTATTAAATAAACATTTTTAATAAGTATTGATAAAATTTTTATCGTTAAATAAGTATCGATAAAATTTAAATTGTAAATAATAATTTTAATTAATTTTACATATTATTGATCTTTATATTAAACTTTATTAATTTATTGATTTAAATTTTTTATTAAAATTTTTATTAAATCATTTTAAAAAATAAAACTTTCACAAATGTTACTTAAATAATTTCTTGTAAGTTTTATCCTCCCCTGGATACGTGTAAATGGCAGTTTGTTTTGCTAGTAGATATTTAAAGCCAAAAAAAATTTCTAGTGAGGACCTTGATGTTTCAGATATCAGTTTTCAAATTCACCAACGGATGATTGGTTTAAGTGGTAAAAGTATACTTTTTATTATTTGGGTTCAAATAATTTTAAAAGCCATGAAAATATAATTTTTCATATATTTACTAAATTCAACGTAAATAAACCTTGTTGAACCGATAAAAAAATTCTGAGTCGAAGCTCAAAAACTCATTACTGCTTAAAATAAGCCTTCGGGTTCCATGAATAGCAGCCATCAAGGCAAATGGTTAATTTGGTCTTCTTGGTGTGTTTGACCTTATCATTTATTTATTAAGTTTAATTTGGTACGATGGTCAGGATGTAAGGAGGTGAGGGCATTGAATCCTAGACTTGTATCTCCTCAACCTAACAAGTGTATGCCCTTGTGTACCATGACATGGTTGCATGATCTAGCTACATTTTTCTATCTCTCCTTTTTCATTTTCTTTTTACTTTTGGAAGAGGGGAGGGCGTTGAAAACCGCATTTCTATTCTGCCCATCTCAAAATTTTTAAGATTCAAGAAGTTCGAGATTTAAATCTCAATACTTAAAATCTTTTTCTTATCTTTAAATTGTGACTTCCTTCAAATAAAAAAATAAAAAACTTGAAAGGATGTTATATGTATGTATATGTATGTATATGTACACATATATGTATACATATATATATGCGTATGTGTCTATACACACATATATATATGAACAACGTATTGCAAGGGTTAACGTCAATTGATGTTGGATTAATCATTTGAAACATGACGTAAAAGATAAGTGTTACTTGAAAACTAAGAGAAAGATAAAAAGAAAATAAAAATAAGAGTATTAGAGTAAATGATTTGCTCATTGATGTAATTCTATAACTGCTTGTTTATTGTAATTATTTAGTTAATTATTTTTAATTTAACTTAATATTCATGATCGGGCAAGCATGGAGCCCACGTAAAGATTATGAATATATAATTAACTGCTTCTCAAAGCCATCTACTACAATCAGAGTATGAAGATTATGTTACTGCAAATAGTGCTAGCGTTGCCTGTCTTCGCTCTATTGCCCTAATTTTTTCAGCATTCTTTGCTCAAGAATGATAATTGGCCTCACAATTGGAAATTTATGTGGATTTTTATGCAGTTGCTTATCATTTTGTTCTTACGCCAAGCCCTTATGTTGACCAGAGATTCTGGAATGATGCAGGAGTCATCAGCTTTCATTAATGGAAGTAAAAGATGACACCTTTGGAAAATTTGTTGCACCATGGTAGCACCTCGGTGGGCATTTCCATATTTATGCTTGCATGTGATACCATACAAATACTTTTACAGACAAATATTGCCAGATGCTTGGGATACTTCCATTCATTCCTTTTTCTTTGGCTAAAGGGTCAAATATTTTGAATAAAAATGCTATAATCATCCAAATTTTAATTGTTTTAGTTTAATCAATTCAATCATCGAACATCTATTTTCACCAATTGAAATCAGGCTCAATTTGGGTGAAAATAGATATTTAAAAATTCAATTGGATAAAAATAGATGTTTAAAAGTTTATTTGACCAGAAATAAAAAATTCAGGGCTTATTGATTACAAAGAAAAAAATATTAAAAGTTTAAATAATTTGCAAATGTTGTCAGATGCTTTGTCCTTGATGTCACCACCGATATCAAAGATGTTTCTTCTACCTAATCTTTAATTGTAATAACAAGTTAGCTTGTTCATCAATGTCTTGGATGAAAATTTTAGTCTTTATAAATTTTGTCTATAACCAAATTCCTGATTCTTGTTTCAGCCTTTATGAGCTACATGTGTTATCCACATTTCCACAATGAGGCTGTTCTTGACTTCCATGCTGAGAACATGCAAGTCGTTTTTGTAAGTAGCAATTTCTCAAGTTGTATTCAATCAAATATATATGTGCCAAAATTGGCTAAAAGTCTAGTGGATTAAATCCTTTACATCTCAATTATAGAACTCGGAAGTAAATGTAAATGTGATTATGAGTTCCTTATTTTTGTTTTTCCCTTATTTGTTTTGTCCATTTTGTTTGGCATTTGATATCGCTTTGATTGTTGCCATATGATAAGCCTTAAAAGCTATAAGTTTCTCTTAGATAAGACATCTATCATTAAATATAATACAATAATATGATACAAAAAAATATATAAAAGTAGTACAATTTAAAATTTTAACAAAAATTATATATAAATTTAATAAAAATAAAAAAAAATCTTATTTTATATTTGACATGTAAATACAAATTTTGATATAATAATTTTTTTATTTTACATTTATTTGATACGAAATAATAAATGAAGATAGATACATTAATTTACAAGGTTAAGATACTGGTATATAAATGTACACATCTAGTCTACAATAAAAACTAGCCTTTGCTCTCAAGATGAAGTCTTAAGTTGTAATCAATAGGTTTTTTTTGGGACAATTTTTTTCTCTTTTCAAACTATAAAAAAATGGGGAAAGAAAAAAAAAAGTATTTGCAATGTATATGCTTGAATTAGCTTATATATATGATCTGTGATTTTATTGTTAGACCATTTTAGAACATCAAGAAGGAAGCAATCATACTTAAAGTGTCCAAAAACAGTAAAAATAATATTGCTATTCATTATATGATCATAAGCTCCTATTGCAACTTACTTTTACTAGCTTTTTTTTTTTTTTTTTTTTTTGCTCCTAAAAAAGTTGTTATAAATCAAAAAACAAATACTATTGAAAGAGCTCATATTTGATTAAAAATAAATAATTTTTACTATCCATTTAAATGTTATTGTTTCTTAAAAACGTAAAAGTACTGCTTTATTTTGTTAGAAATAAAGTACGCTATTAACTTAAAATCAAATAGCCCGAATTAATGCAATACCCAAACTTTCTGACGTGGGAAGCCTGCCCAATGCGAGCTGCAGGCCCTACTTACCAGGAGCACTCGTGGACGACCTTTGATGAGTCCATTACTAGCAACATGTAGGGGCAAAATGAACACACATTTTATTTTTTTATTCAATGATAAGACATGTCACTAACTCAAAATCGATTGGTTTAAGTTAATGTAAAATCCCATATAAACCACACACACACACAATTTTGTTTTCCATAAAAGTGAATGTATGTATTTAGGCGTTATCAAAGAACAATTTATCAATTTAGTTAATTCTTTTTGCTAAAAATCACAAAAGACTATTTTTTTTTTTAATGGCATGGATTTTTTTTAATTTAATACGGTATATCCTTTTTCAAATTAATTCAAATGAATTTATTATGTTGAGTTTAATAAATTTATAAAAAATTATTTTTTGACATCGTTTCAATGGAATCAAACCCAAAAATTTTTTTTTAAAAAATAACACACTCCTTATATCACTTAAATTAACATCAATTTTTTTCTCCTTTCAAATTATAACAAAAATGGGGAAAAAATCAACAGGCAAAAAATCTCGCATTTGTAATTTACATGCTTGAATTGGCCTGAATGATTTGTGATTTTTTTGTTAGACCATTTTAGTACATCATGCAAGAAGCAATCATCCTTAAAGTGTCCAAAAACAGTAAAAATAATATGGCTATTCATTATGAGGAAATTCTTGATTAATGATAAGCTCTTATTGCAACTTACTTTTACTAGCTTTTTGTTTTTTTTTCTCCTAAAAGTGTTGTTATAAATTAAAAAATAAATATTAGTGAAGGAGCTCATATTTGATTAAAAATAAATAATTTTTAGAATGTAATATTACCCATTTAAATGTCATTGTTTTTTATAAAAAGTAAAAGCATTAATTTTGTTATCATAAAGTGAAAGTATATATAAATATATATATATATTATATGCATTATCAAAGAACTCATCGATTTAATGAATTTTTTCAAAGTTTTATGCGGTAATTTTTTTTTGAATTGATTCTAATAAATTTATTTATATCAAATTTAATAAATTTATAAAAAAAATATTTTTCAACATCATTTTAATGAAATCGAATCAAAAAAATAATAAAAAAATAATTCTCTTTTATTACTTAACATTTATTGGTAAAAATAGTTTATATTTTACATAAAATACTCATCAAGCACAAAAAAAAGAAGGCAGGCTTATGGAACTTTCCTTTATAAAAAAAAGCTATTATTTATGAAAAAGATCCTCCAACAAAACAAAACAAAACATGTCAACATCATCTTTGTGCTAATCTTGTCACGGGAGAAAATGAATAATATAAAACTATTCTAATTATTAGTTTTTACTTATTAATAATTATGCCTAAAGCATTTTAAGGGATAGGCATGTTCTCTTCCTTTTTTATTCAATAATTTAATATTTTTCAAATAATTATTTGATTAAAGGCAGCTTATCACTATTATTTTAATTAACAATTATAAAAAAGAACAAAGGAGGCAGGTTTGGTTTGTTTTCCTTTGCAAAAAG